CAGGTCTTTTGCTGTGGATGGCCCTTCTAGTTTGCTGGCTGGTGCGTCCTCTAGACCAGTTTCTTCTTGGGGCTTTTTACCGTCGGAGGTTTCATACTGTCCAGCCTTATGCACCAGTCCTTTGATATCCAAATTCAACCTGCCGGATGCTTTGTTGTAGGCCGTAGCTAAATTGTGCTTCATAACTAAACTCGGTTTGTTTTCAACTTCGTCACTGTTGAAAATTTCACCCTCTGCCCCAGAAGATCCCGTATGAGGGTGTGGGGTAGTTGCCTGAACTGTGTCCTGCCCGCACGCCTTTTCACATTCTTTGGTCGTGACCGTCAAACCTTCACTTGGTGGAGCCCTCAAACACGTCGGCCTCTGTACAGCGTCAAACCGTGATGGAATGACAGACGAGATATTAGCACTAGTGGGACTTTTAGTTTTACTGCTGAAGGGAACTTCACAGGCAGTAGAAGGGGTAACTTTCTCATCAGGGAGTGCGTTATTTTGAGGGACCGGTAGGGTAGAAAACCCGAACATCAGTTCCTCTGGAGCTTCAGGTTTGAATGAACGGCTGACTGTGACACCATTTTGACCACTTGAAGGACGGTCTCCATCGACCCTGAGATCGGATGCGGAGGAAAAGTTAGGAGAACGTGGGGGTTCGGTTGAAACAGAAATTGAGCTGCGCTGGCTGGCACCAGTCTGCGACCCTGGGAAATTAGGATTGGATATTTGTGTGGTAACTTCACACTCTGAGAGGCTCTCTGATACTGTTTCACACGAGGACAACTCAACACCCTGACCTGACCCTTCGGCGCTGAGGTAGACTGCAGTGCAGTTGTCGCTACTTCTTGCCTTCGAAGCAGACTGTGGTCGATTTCCACTAGTGTTGACTTGAGAAGAAATGCTTAGTGCAGTACTAGTGGATGCAGATGCGGGCAGTTCACTCGAGTCCCTCTCAATCGAATGTGTATCACACGTCGGCTGTTCATTAGTGCCCCGTGTAATGGAATCCTTTTCGACAGTTGGCGTCAGTACGTCTGTTTGCTGCAATCTTAGCGGTTCCGAGGCCATCCGTTTCTGCGGGCTATTCCCCTGCGACCCCCAGATTTTCCGGTGGGGCTGAACTGCGCCGCGTCTTATAGGTGATTCCCATTGAGCTTGTTGGGTTAAACTCGTTTCTATCTTCGGATGGGAAAGTCTCCCAGTTATAAAATCCGGACTGGAAATATTGGCCAGAGTAGAATCGGTGTCAGTGAAAACAGCGGAATCACTGACGGTGGAGACTGTTTCGCGATTGGGTATGGTTGTGACCAATGAGGCAGCTATTTCCAGCAGCTGACTTGCTGATTCAGACAGTGGGTGTTGGATGTTTCTACTGACCCTGTTAGAATTCATTGGTAAGGACATACAGCAGGTTGAGCCTCTGGGGCTCCCCGCCTCATCGAAGGTGTGGGGAAGGGAGCCCTGTAGTCGTGGTTCAGATGCCTCTAAGTCATACTCGGGGCCATTGTCCTCGTCGAAGAAGTCGTGGTTCCGGTAGTTTGGGGGTGCGGATCCGCTCCTCTGACGAAGGGCACGGTTTTTGGGAAAGTTTGAGAGGTACCAAATCCTGCAGTTCTGAAGCCTTGGTGGCGGATTGCTGAAAAGAGAACCATTAAAACATTGGATAAGTGATGACAAGGCTAAAGTATAATGAACGTATGTCGGAGAAACGATTCTGATAGATTATTGTAGTATTCACTAACAGCAATCGAGTAAAGGAACAACACTGGGATCTGATTGGCAAAATGCCCAAAATCCGCTTCACAGACATTAAAAGCCTTTTACATTACATAGGACAGAGTGAGGCGGACAATATCACATTGAAGGCCATTACATAATTGTGGTTTTACCAACACAGTGCATTTAAATGACCAGATATTCAGGAGACAACCTAAATTCCAAATCACCTAAACTTTACTATCACATCCCTCACCCACTACTAGCTATCCTACAATGATCCTTCGGATTCGGCTTTTTCCGATTGACGTCTGGTAACTCAGTCTATAGAACTTGAATGATGATTCGCTCCTCTGTTTAGCTAAAAGTTGAGGAATTGGCGCCTTCACTACAAATAACCTCAAAATAGGGTTCATTTGAGGCCTTCCCTACCTTAGGAGCCTTGATAAGTTGTCTTCGAATGTTAAGGCCATCTGCTTGGGAGCAAAGAAACAGTAAACCACAATAACAGGCTGCTGAGAATCGTGGCGGGCCCCCTTGTTTTTGTCATCCGGTCGGCAGACTCGACAACCAGCAAGGACGTATGATAGGCACATCTCCGACACTTCGATGATTTTCCCGTGACCTCTGCGATCTTCTCCTCGTATGATCCTTAGGATATTGCGAAAAACAGCGATAGGCTCCTCCTGACCTGTTTCAAACACTCTAAGCAGCAGGCCATCCTATCTCGCATATACTTTCCTCCCGTGAGCGACAGGCTTTCTCCCTAAAATCCCTCAAATGGCATGCAAACGTCTGGAATTTCCGAACAATGCCTAGGGAGTTTTTTCACTGTCTGCTCTTTTTACCCAGTTCCATTTACTGGCATCAACACTCTTTTGAAGTGGGTGTTGTACCAATGCATTTCTTAGCTGCTGTTTACCAATAGGAGATTCAAAGACATTTGCCTATATTTCCATTAATAAACCTGACCTGACCTGACAGATCCCCCGTCGGTTTCGACGATGGGCAAAACCTGACCTGACCTGAATAATGTACAAAGCCTTAGTTGCTTGCAAAAAGAAACCTCTCCACCACAAACCCACGTCACAGATACTTCACGCTTCTGGATCTCCAGAACAGGCAGCAAGAGTTGCCTGCACTTTTTAAGTATGTCTTTTGCTGGAAAAGATTGCGTGACCACGTATCTATGCCGAGTAGGATGACCTATAATTCTAAAATATCACACACGCACAGAACATTGCTGACTTTTTGTCGGCCATCATTTCAGACACCTACGGAATTAACGCGTACAAAAATAGCTGTTCTTCAGCAGTGTACATTTTTTATCGCGTTTCGATTTTATACTCAATTTACTAAATTTTTGCCGAGAAAATATACACCAGGAGTGGTAGACGTTGAGAGAGACAGAGGATCTGCAAATTTTGTATTTTAACCAAAGGAGCATTTCGGTTTTCGAAAGTCATGCGCATTTTCTTTTAAACACAGCTTACGTGTTCAGTGAGCCTGAGACCACGGAACTGCACTTTACGTACCTTCATTCATTTGAAATGGTACCAATCCTGATGCCACTATGACGAGATACGTTAGTGTTCCTAAAAATTTGCACACTCTAAAGGCAGCCATAATAATTTTGTAAGTACACGTGTCAGAATCTGAAACATGTCCTTGTTTACAAAACTTTGCAACCGGAAGTGGACCAACCCTTTAAACAATCAAGATTATAGAGAACGTGAATTCCAACAATCTTGGCCTACTTATTTAAAAGGGTGTGGACATTATTCGTCTGAGCCTTGAAAACTAAGATGACTATGTACACTGAGCGAGTAGAGGAACTTTAGCAACGCATGCGGCCAAATATACGTACAACCGGAAGTTTGCCTCCTGCCACAGGTAATCCATGATATTCAGTGTTACAAGCCAACATTCTCGGGTCCACAGTTAATGTGCTACGAAATTTACTACTTATCAATAAAAAAGTAGATGGAGTCCCAATACTTGCAGCCTTCTTGCGCAAATTCTTAATCATCCATTCGTGATCTCCATTCTGAATTGAAGTGCAAGCAGGTAGAATGATGGTGGGAGGCGGTTCACTACAGCCGCCATTCCGGTCATGCTAGGGATAGTCTGTCGGTGTTATCATATCATGCAGCTAAAGGGGTGCCTAGGCTCAAGACTGAGATGCTTAAGTTCTCCAAACAAATAACTCGAATTCAAAGCCATGAGTATCTCAAGGTTGATTACATGTGTCTGACGGCTAGACTTGATAAAGGACAAATATATGAAGGAGTTTAAATGGGTTCATTTTGCGAAGTTTTTTCTAGAAGACTGAAATATAAGAAATTTTGCCCAATCACTGTTCAACAATAGAGTCGCATAGTGAATCTGCAGTTTGGCATGGCACAATTTTAAGAAGATTTAAATGGGTAATGGCGTGTTGTTTTTTAAATAATGATTACCGAAAGCCGGTATGTCCATGAATAAACCCTTTCTATGAAAATGAGCTTTTTGTACTTGCCGGGACTATGACGTATATGGTAAGTTAGCACTGAAGTACGCAGGCCGTTTTCTGGTACAGGGTGACTTTACGTTACCAGTGTGCTATTAAACATGTAATCAGCCAAATCCTATTCGCTTAAACGCATACCAGCCTAAATTTCTTGGCCAAAATTAACGTATAAAGAAATTATCAAAAATACAAATCATCCTTGAGCTAATTTACTAAACTCTCACAGAAGCTGTCTGTAAATTATTTTCTTTCTTTTCTTAATATCTGGTACTAACATAAAGTCCTACCTTATCCTCAACACACCAATCACATGAATTGAAATCTAGCCTGGTGTTAAAATAACTATTTCGCATACTAAACATGTTGCTAGAATAAGACTCATACTGTGACTTTAGAAACGACCCACTACACAAAGCCTCAGTATGCACTAATGTTTAAAGTTAGAATCTGGAAGTAAGAGATTTTAAGGATACCTGTCACCGAGATGCTTACTGAACATGCATCAGTCAGCTAGTGTAAAAGTTTGGGGGGCGTTTAAGCGAATCGCGACTTCTAAAGGTGGAGTCACTAAACCACGTGTATACACAAAGAGCGAAAGAGCAAGCGTGCGCTCACCTGCCTCGTAGGTTTTCGTTGTCTTGCAGGGGCGACTGTGAACTCCCAACTGTACGCTGCTGAAAGAAATGAGAAATGCGTTCAATCCAGGGTTCTCGCTTAACAGGAAAACTGGCGGACATTTTTATCGGAAATTGCTGCAGTTGCAGCTGCCGTTGCCGCTGCTGCCGCTCTGACTTCTGATCACAACAAATACAACAGAGCCTGACAGCAGCAGAGGAGGAGAAGTGTCGTAGGTGGGAGGCGCCAAAGGCGTGTCGCTGGCGACGTCGAGGAGGAGGGGTATTTACCGCGGAAGCACATCCGCCCGGCATGTGGTTGGAGTTAAGGCCAGAAGAAGTCATGCAACAATAGCTGCACCCATCGCAGCAGCAGCAGCAATAACAACAATCGTCCTTCATCAGGCATCCATAATACAAACGTCATGCGGACGTCATAAGCACGTAGAGTCCCAGAGTGTCC